CCTGCCCTCAACGCCAAGCCACAAATTCCGCGCAAATTTCTACAAAAGAAAGAATAGGGATTCCAATAAGGAGTCAAATACGATCTCCGGCCACCGTAAGCGCGGGCCTGCGGACGCCGAGCACGGGTGGCTCGCCGCCCGACCAGAACCAGACCCGATCCTACGGCGTGTCGCTTTCTGCGCGCGCCTCTCAAAGAGCCATCAGAACACCACAGATGGGGCGCAATAGGGCTGATGCCGATACGTAGCCGCGGAGAACCTAACGGGTAACCGGGGCTCCGGCTCGACGTGCATGAGAAGGAACGGGGTGGTTTTTAGTCAGTAAGAGTCTGACACAACCCACCCGCCTCACCCGGGCGGGAGAAGTCAAAAAATAAAATAGGGAATCAAATTGTTGATATCGTGTTTCCGGTTCCACTTGTTCTGTCATGTATTTGTGTTGTTGGCGTCCTCGGACAGTTTTCGCTTGTCACGTATATGTGACAATGGTGCTTAAAAGGTTAAAAATGAACCGCAGATGGTATTATTTGCTGATGACACTTCATTAGTTTTTATTTTTAAAATAAATAGACTAACCAATAATTATGACGACGTAAATAATGCTCTAATGACGGATCAAAATTGGTTTAAATAACTTAGTACTAAACGATAAATAGACAAAATGTATTATTTATTATATTTGTTTTGCGAAACGTTAAAAGCAACGAATGTGTCATATTGTTCAATGGTGAGAAATTAGAATTTGTAAATAAAAGAGACAACTTTTCTATCCTATAGACGACAAATTGCAATATTGACATTACATCTTTAGCAGGACGATTGAGCTTTGCAGGTTACGCTGTCTGGTAGATCCGACAGTTGACCGACATAGACACGGCAAGACTAGTGTACTTCAGTTACTTTCATAGCATTCTGCTCTGGGGACACGCTGCTGACACTGAGTCTATCTTTATCTTACAAAAGTGCGCCGTCAGAACGATCTACAAGTTCTACAACCTAGGTCGTCGTTCTCATCGTCGAATCTTTTGATTTATGACAAAGAATTAGCGAATCGCGTCGGAGATTCGCAACATCAACATTATGACCGTTCCATGTCAATTTATTTATGAAAACATCATATATTTTAGAAAAAACCTACAGTTATTTGGTAAAGTGTTGGACAGACACCACTATCAAACTAGACATGCCAATTTTGAGATTGGCGAAAGTAAGTAAGTCGTTCATGGGATTCTGTGTTAAATGTTATAACAAGATACCAGGCGATATACCTTAAATGAAACAAAATTTAAATAACTACATAGTATAAAACAAAGTCGTTATCCGCCGTTTGTCTGTCCCTATGTATGCTTAGATCTTTAAAACTACGCAACGGATTTTGATGCGGTTTTTTTAATAGATATAGAGAGATTCTTCAGGAAGGTTTATATGTATAATACATGCGTAATATAGTAGAGAAACACTGATAAATTTAGAGGTTTCTAATTGCAACCGTGCGAAGCCGGGGCGGGTCGCTAGTTATGTATAAAAAACTTTATGTAGACAAGCTTACCTACTACAAACTTAATAATTCTATAGAGGATGCTTGGAGGCAGGCTGGTCCAGCTCCACAGGATAACGAAAAACATTGATGTTTCAATGAAATCCATAATATGAAATGTATATTGTTTAACTTGCATAATCATTGTAAATGTGAGAGCTCTGTTATTACATTAGACTAGTAGAATGCATTTGTGTCAGATTGAAGTCGTCATGCTCACTCAAAGATCTCATTGGCGGAGGCACGTGCAGGGGATCGATTTCCTACAACATGGTTGAGTTCGGCGGTGCTGGTGTACGTGTCATGTTCGTGAACGGGCGCTGGACAGTTCCACACTGAACTAAAATTATTCTCCTTAAGGTTATTTTTCTTTTTCGATCTCTTTGACTGGTGTTACATTATTCTCGCACAACCGAACCAATAAAATTATGTAACTAGAGAATTGTATTGTGAACCTGATTGAAAAAGAGTAACCTATGGAGTTGAAATAAGCAAATAGCTTCATTATAAGTTTTTTGTTGACGTTCAAAAGTTATTTCCAGGGGGCTTACTCTTGAATCCAATTCCGATCGATCGACATTGGTATTGTGAAATTTCGTACTTGTGCTTGAGTTGCAACACTAGCGCCCATTGCATCCGTATTGCGTGGATATTGAATGAACTAAATGGTATTGAGTTTGGCTTTATATTCAGATTTTATTGGATTGAAATTGCATTGACATTGAGATTGGCTTCGAGAGTAAGCACCCTGTTCTAATTGAAATAAATGATTTTGATTTTTGACTGTTGATGATAATTGGTGAAAACTGACTTGGATCCACAAACTTACAACATTGTAGAGTCGGCTTTTTAACCCCTCGAGCAGCGTCCTTATGAGCACCCGGTAGATCATAAGAAAAAATGCTCCATGCTGCTCTCTTTTATAAAATCTCTTATTTATTTTGACTGTATTTTTTATTTCTATTGTAATGATTTCGTGTGCCAATGGCCAAATAAATGCATTTTCTTTCTTTCTTTCTCCAAATGTCACGTGTGCACCCGTTGGATCATAAGGAACGCGGACGGTCGACGGGTTAAAAGGCCGGTAAAGCACTTGCGGGGGTCCATGGGCGGCCCTGATTGCTTACCATCAGGTGATCCGTCTGCTCCTTTGCCCCCCCCCCCCCATTCCAATAATAGACTGGTACTTATTTGCAATTTTATCTATTAATTATAATTTTATCTAAGGTCTACAATAATAGGCCTCTTTTTATTCCACGGTAACGCGGGCTAGTATGAAATGAAACAACAATAATAACTAAATTAACTTTTTACTTCAGGTTTCTTGTGTTTGTTGATACAATCTCTGAAATCGTTCACTTCTGTCTGGCACTTCCTCCAATCTTTGGTTGTAGCTATGCATTCCTGAAACATTTCGTATTTTTTAGTCAAAATAATATAATTTTAATTTTTTCCATACGAGTACAGTTGGTCACAAGTATAGATGGCGCTGGTTTCAAATTCAATCACTAAATTAATGTTATGTAAACAAAACATGATTTGGGCGTTTATTTACTAAATTAAATGGATATATTACATTTAAAATGCTACATAAATAACACCTACACGATTGTAAAATATACTTACGTGCATCCACAACTCGATTTATTTATTGCAAAACATTTACATCAATATAAAATATCAAAACTAGCTTCCAAACTTAAATAATCCTACATAATAGGTACAAATATCACTCATTTGTTAACAAAACTTCATATTTACCAAGTTAAATCATTGAAAAGCAGTTTTGTGCAATTCCTAACCTGTACTTTATAGTGTAATTCCAAGCAGCCTGTTTTCTTTAGCATCGCTTCTACAGGGTCATCGTCAGGATCTGCTGGCCTTTCACGAGGTTTGACAGTCATTTTAGTTTAAAACACAATTATTCGACAAAAATTACACAAAACAAATTCTAAATTTCTAACCTCTGTGTTCATCAGCTGATAACAGATAAATAAAAAATAAAAATTGATGTGTTACGCTACCAAATGAACATGTCACAGATTATAAACTGATGACAGTTTATATGAAGGGTTTTCAATTTGTTCGGGTTATAGGTTACGTTTCGTTCTCTGCAATTTGTTCTCAGTATTTTTATAACGAATCTATGAAAGAATAGATGAGCATAAAATTGTAATGAATACTTCTGTATACAAAAATAGTTCTCCATTTATATATTTTATTATGGAGTAGCTGAACACTCAACTTCGTCTTAGTTTATCACTACATAGCATAAAACAAAGTCGTTATCCGCCGTCTGTCTGTCCCTATGTATGCTTAGATCTTTAAAACTACGCAACGGATTTTGATGCGGTTTTTAAATAGATAGAGTGGTTTTTTAAAGGAAGGATTGTATGTATAATACAATACATGATTACCACTACTTTAAAATAAAAGCAGCCTATGTTACTCCTTAGTACAGCTACCTGCCAATAAAAGTCCCGTCAAAATCGATCCAGCCATTCCAGAGATTAGCCAGTACAAACAGACAGACTAATATTCTAAAAAGTGTTATTTTGATACCTATATCGTATGTATATTCATATGCGTGTAGTAAAAAGCGGTTATTTCATATTACAAACAGACACTCTAATTTTATTTATCTGTATAGATGGACTCTTACACGAAAAAATGGGGGGTGGGATAAAAATATCCATCTATCTATTTATAGCAAAAGCCAAGGGCAAAATCACTCTTTCCTGCTCATACAAAAATATCTCCCTCCTCAAAATTACATAACATCACGCCTTTTATCCCCAAGGGGTAGGCAGGGGTGCACATTACAGCACTGCCAATGTACAATGTAACACCCACTTTTCACTATTCATGTTATGAGTCCCATGTAATAGGAGGTGAGCCTATTGCCATATACCGGACACAGTTCCAGATTCCGTGCTACAACCTAGATTTTTTTCTAAACCCAATAGTACTTTGCCCGACCCGGAAATCGAACCCGAAACCCCTTGCCCGTCAGTCGCATTTGCGACCACTCGGCCAACGAGGCAGTCAAAATTATTTTATTTATTCATTTAAATCAACATAACCTAACAGGTTACACCCAATCCTTACTAATATTATAAATCGGAAAGTGAGTTTGTTTGTTACGCTTTCGGGTCATAACTACTAGACTGATTGCTTTGAATTTTTCCAGATGTATAGTTAGAAGTCCAGATTAAATAATAGGGTACTTTTTATCCCGGAAAAAATTGATATTCCCGAGGGAAAACAAAAGTATTGGTATAGATGGCGCTGTGTATATTGGTATATGTCACATTGGCTTTTTATCCTTTTGTAACGCGAGCGAAGCCGTGACTAAAAGCTAGTGGGTATTATAAAGGTACCGTGAAGAAGTAAAAACAAACACCAGTTATAAATAACTTAACTTTCATTTATTTAAATATAAAAAATAAACAGTTATCTACATTTAAGCTAGGATCTTGCTCTTATGGCGGAGAGCGGTGTAAGCGACGAGGATGGAGAGCGCGGTGGCTAGGACTTCCGAGTTCACCCATGGGCCGGAGTAGCCTGAAACAAGAAAATCAATATTAGCATTATTAGTAGTGTCCTGGTGGCCCGGAGGTTTAAGACGCCCGCTTCTCATGCATGAGGGTGCGGGCGAAACCTTCCAACGGCAAGTACCAATGTGACTTTTTCCGAGTTATATGTACTTTCTAAGATTATTTAAACACCACTGACAAACGGTGAAGGAAAAATATCGTGAGGAAACCTGGACTTATAATTTCTAATTATAAGTTTGAAATCGCCAACCCGCATTGAGCAAGCGTGATGATTAATGCTCTAACCTTCTCCGTGTGAGAAGAGGCTTTGCTCAGCAGTGGGCATTTATAGGCTGTTGATGATGATGATTATTAATGATAATAAAACAATAATAAAGGGCGCAACCACATAAAAAGGCCTATGAACAAAAAATCTATGCCATGATGGAAGGTAAAAATGCATAATTTCGGAAAACAAATCCAATTCAATAGGGAAATCCAATATGGAACCCTGATCGGTAGTAACGCTTGCGCCCACTCGATCACGAGGTCGTCAACATTACATACTTCATGTCTTTACTGGGTAGTCTTAGTATATAGTTTCTAACTACCTTCATAATATAGCAAAATTAAGTTTGTCTTTTTAATTTTTACCCAAACTAAGTAAACGATAAAATTATTATTATCTTTATTTAAACAAGTGGACCAATGCAAATAATTCGAAACATGTACATTCAAAGTTGTAACCGTATAAAGTTAAATTAACATAACATAACATCACGCCTTTTTATCCCCGAAGGGGTGGGCAGAGGTGCACATTATCCCACTGTACAATGTAACACCCACTTTTCACTATTATGTTATGAGTCCCATGTAATAGGGGGTGAGCCTATTGCCATATACCGGGCACATTTCCAGACTCCGTGCTACTACTGAGATTTTTTTAAAAACCCCAGTAATACTTTGCCCGACCCGGGAATCGAACCCGAGACAAGGGGTCTCGGCAGTCTCCGGCAGTCGCACTTGCGACCACGCGGCCAACGAGGCAGTCAAAAAGTTAAATTAGTTAACCTTAATTAACTGATTATGGAGAGGAATGATTGAAAGTCATCGCACAACTAAAAAGCACGTCTTCGGCACGGCTGAAGCACGGCTCCGACATACGATTTAAATTACAAGTTAATTGCTGGGTTGGAGCCGTGCTTGTGTGTGTTGTTTCACACTAATGTACTGTGAGACCGTGGTATCACTCCGGTCAAGTCGGCCGATTCGTGCTGACACAGAGCCGTATTATCCCTAAGGCGCTCTAGACAAGTGCCGGGCGCCAGGTTACAGAGGGGCGCCGCAAGACGCGCGTGTACAACTGCACATAGAGTGACGGCGGCGACAAAAACAATTAGGGGCGCTTATGAGGTGCTTAAATCTACAAATAATAAAAGAAGTTGTTCCACTTACTTCCTGGGTGGTGTAACTGGATGGCGATTAGGGGAGCGACGGCAGCGGCAGGGTCAGCGCGGCGGGCGCGGCGGAGGTTGGCCCAGCCTTCCTCGTCGAGGATCAGGACATCATGAGTACCGGAGCGGGCCTTCGCTGGCTCTTCAGTCCAGGATACCTGAGTAAAATTAAACAAGTGATAGTTTCTTATTTAAAACGAACTTTTGCCCTGTACTAGAATCTTCTCATGTGGCATGGGTGCGTTCACAAACCCATACATGACACCCAGACACGGAACTACAATCTGTGGATCAAACAAAGAGTTGTTGTTCCGTGCGGGTATGGAACCTGCTAATTTATTTCTGCAAAAAGGCTACAAGGCAGCACTTTTACACGTCCATTTTGAGCAAGAACGATGAGGTCGACATTTCCTAACTGACTACTCTGAGAAGATATGCTGAAACAAACTCAGAGGTCCGTCTCTTTTAAAGTCCAGACAAATATGTATAAAAGATTGTGTGAGAAGAAAGAGCCAAGAGATGAGTATTGTTATTAAATTGAACATAATAGGTACTACTTTTGATTAATTGAATGATGTATTGGTATGGTTTTTTTTTTTTTTTTTAAGGGGGGAAAATCATCGAATGACTGTATTGGTATGGTTACTGTATAATGTTTTGTCATATAATTATAATAGTTTAATATATCGAATAGAGTCAGGCATTTCTTTATGGAAATTCATGCTACAAAAAAACCCCTGAAGGAATGAAGTTAAATGCTCACAGATAAATTCTCATGCAGCAGAGATGCGACACATAACACACAACACAATGCACAATGCTGTGGATTTTGTCCAATGACCAAGGTGGTGTAACAGTTAATTTCTAATCTAAACAATTACATTTAATACATAAAGGCTTGCTCTCTGCTCAACTAAGTTTCTGATATAATTTTCACTGGAAGTTAACATAAGACAGTTGATTTTTTCATTCAGTAACTTATCAGTCTAATTCACTCTGTGCAGCTAACAACAAAACTATTAAGAATTACATATACCATTGATTTTTGAGACACGAAATAAATTATATAAAGAACTAGCAAACCAGGCGTACTCCGTTTCGCTTCATTTTATGTAACATTTCGTTTGGTGATTAAAAGATGAAGAAACATTTTTATTTGTTTTATATTTTATAAACCTCACTGAACCCAAGACCTTTCCAACAAATGCAAAACCGGGGAAATCGGTTCGTGCATTCTGGATTGCTAGCATCAGGAAGGATAACCAGACTTATTTTTATATAGTAGATAATAAAGCTGTTGGATTATGGCTCTCCTTTACACACGGTTTGCCATAATCTACACACTAGACCAGAATACATAATGGATTGTTGTTTATCTTATTAGAATTTAGCTAGAAGTCAGTCATATAATCCTCACCTTCTCGATTCTAAACAAGAAGTTTGTGGATTTGATTCTACTAAAATTAGTGATATTTTGAATCTGCTGTCTACATCATCATGAGTTAACCGTGACGACTTGTGTAAGAGATGAGACTTTCACTATTCAAGTTATAACTTGTTATATCAACATTTTCTAACTGAAACTAGCCTTCTTAGGGGTGAAATTTACAGTGAAAGTACTCGGGAACATCATGCCAATGTCATGAATACTAAAAATTCAATAGTTATCGAGAAATTTACGACAAAATAGGGTTATACTCACTTGGTATCTGTTCTCGCCAACACGGGCAGCGGTCAAAGGTTTTCCCTCAACTTCAGCGTACAATGCGTAGTTTTCAGGCAGAGGGTTGTCGCATTTCAGCGTAAACTCAGTAATATAAGCTATTTGTGTCACAACTGTGGCATCTAAACTTGTGAACGATGTTGCTTCGACTTGCGGGTTCGTGCAGCCCTGTGCAAACGCTACTGTCGCGATGGCGAACAAACAAATCGCGTATTTTGTGACCATTTTGCTTGATTACTAATAAATTATGAGTTTTAAAAGCTAATTTACTATTTCAAAGTTTGATTTTATTCTTGACTTGCCTCCACGTATTTCGAATGTGGAAAGTACCGTTCTGAAACGTTTATAGGTAATTAGATTAATTTAAAAGTGAAAGGTTTTTGCATTTAATTTCATAATTTTTAATAAATAGTAAGAAATTGTGTCATAAAATAAGAAGAAAACTCTGCATTGCTGTTAAAACTTTATTGATGATAATTAATAACAACAGTGTTATAGTATTACAGAAAATCCAGTAGCCAATAAAAGTATTCTGTTCCATAGATTATTTATTTTAGATCGTATGTTCTGAACGCACTTTCCAAACGTCAGCGATGACGTGTGACGAAAACGCCAAATTCACAAGCCGATGTTTTCGGACTTTCAGCTGCGTTCACTATTTATAAAATTAACATTACGTTTAATTTCATTAAAAGAAAATATATAATTTATTCTTAACATTGTGATTAATGAGCAACGAAAAATATTTCTCGATTAATCTCTATGATATTTTACTATCGAATCTGGCATTCAGGATTGCACACCAAACATTGTGGTCATCAATATTCCATAACGATGAACATGATTCCATGATTTTCGTATTATTATATTCTAAAAGAGAACAGAGATTGCATGTAGTGTATGCTGATGATACATTGAATGACTAAGTTCGTGCCCTAAGTGCTTTTTTGTGCGAACACCTTACTGATACTCAATAGTCAGCAATTGGGTACTTGGATATTTGCCATCTAGTCAAATTCAATACTTGTTTCGAACTGTCAAAAACGACCAGTTTTCTATGAATGTACGAGATTATGTATTGTGACGTCACGTTTTTTAGTGGTCAAACAGCATACTTCTTAAAAATTTGCTGAAAAAATACTAAAATTAAGTTGGTTATAAAATCAATAAATGAAAGTGTGATTATTTTTTATTGTATTGAACAGTAGAAATAATTTATTTTTGATTAAGGAAAGTATCTAATCGTACTTCTGAATAATCGATCAAACAGTAAAAGTTTCAATCACTGTATAATGTAATATCGGACCTTTTATCCTCTCGCGTGTTTCTCGTACACACGGGTGTACGAGAATGTTGAGTGCCAACGCGCACCTAATATGCTTGTCTACATAAAGTTTTCTTTATACATAATTTTAATTTGGATTCATTTAGTTGTTGTACATCGCCTGGTATCTTATTATAACATTTAACACAGAATCCCATGAACGACTTACTTACTTTCGCTAATCTCGAAATTGGCTGACTTAATCTAGAGGTACTCATACGTCTAGTTTGATAGTGGTGTCTGTCCGACACTTTACTAAATAACTCTAGGTTTTTCCTAACATACATAATGTTTTCGTAAATAAATTGACATGGAACGGTCATAATGTTGATCTCTTTAAACCTTTCTCTGAGAGATTCGCGACGACCTAGATTGTAGATATCTTTGACGGCGCGCTTTTGTAAGATAAAGATAGACTCAATGTCAGCAGCGTGTCCCCACAGCAAAATGCCATACGACATAATGCTATGAAAGTAACTGAAATACACTAGTCTTGCCGTGTCTATGTCAGTTAACTGTCGTATCTTCCAGACAGCATAAGCTGCAGAGCTCAATCGTCCCGCTAATGATGTAATGTGAGGACCCCATTGCAATTTGTCGTCTACAGTAATTACCAGGAAAGTTGTCTCTTTTACAAACTCTAATTTATTTAAGAGAATAGTAATTCGCTTTTCTATTAAAATATTTACCCGTGTGTACGAGAAGCGCGCGAGAGGTTATTCCCGAAGGAGATAGAGGTGCTCATTAACCCGTCGTGTGTCTAAATGTAGATCCACGCGAGACACAATGTATTTTCTATTGTGTCTCATATCGGTGCATTCAAGCAGTTGGTCATCATTGTTCAACCTCGAGTCTTCACTCAGTAATGACGCTCGTGACGTGGACGAGATATTCTACATGAGAAAAAATCAGGAAAATATAATTAAAATAAAATATCTTTCGTATTTTGTAATTTATTTAACAATTTAATATTTACAATTAATGTACAATATTTAAATGAAAATAGAAATTAAATAAAATATTTAAATCACATGCCATTGTCTTGTTCAAACACTAATATTATAAATGAATATTTGTCTGACCTTATTATGCGATAAAACATATCAACAAGAATACATTTTTTCTCTAATATTCTGAAGATAACCAACCACCAACATCTCCTAAGTTTTAAGGAACCTCTTAGTTAAGATAGGTGACACATAACAACATTTTGGTTTTCATCAACCTGTCAGTGACATCTGACAGTACTAGTACAGAGTGCCAAGCATGAATAACTATCGCATACGTATTGTAACAGTATCGAGCGAGTTAAGCGTTCTGATTGGTTGCTTCACTTGAGCTGGCCAATCAGAGCGCCGAACGCACACGATACTATTACGTTACGAATGCGATAGTTATTCGTGCTTGGCACTCAGGTTGACAAAAACGAGTGACGCGGTGACAGCTGGTACTAATATTGACTTGTACTGAATCACCCACTTCACACCATATCCCATGAATAAACAATCATCCGAATATAGTACCTCCTCTTTTTGAACTAGATAATAATAACAAATATTAAAACCGATTGAGTCGTAGTGTACAACATCAATCTGTACAAAACCAGTTTACCCTGGTGTCGCGTCGCATCATCTTTCCGCACATTTAACGTTCAGTTTATACTGGTTATGTAAAGCTCATTGTGTAGCCGTGTGTACCAGGTTGCCACAGGTACGATGCTAGCGACCTCAATTGGGTAGTGCCTTGGCTATCAAAATTAAAAATCTAATCAGTTCGTCGGTTAGATAATGAAAAAATATTAGACACGTATTTTTTATTTTCTCGTATTTAAGTTGCAATACTTAGATAAAATGGCGCTAAGTTTAGGAATGGGAGGTCGTTACGTCATAACGTGCTACAAAATGTGACACGCTGTGACATCACACGATATTTCAAATTAATATATCGTCGAAAGTATTTAATTTTGTGAGAGAAAAAGAAAAATACGTGTCTAAAGTTTTAAATTAATGTACCAGACGGACATTAAAATAAATTTAGAAACTACCGTATTATTACGAACTCTTTTTTGCCAAGCTGTACACACGGCCACTCATCAATCTATACAAAACCAGTTTATCCTGGTGTCGCGTCGCATCATCTTTCCGCACATTTAACGTTCAGTTTATACTGGTTATGCAAAGCTCGATGTGTAGCCGTGTGTACATGTGTCCGCAGCAAATAGTAGTATATAGTTTTGTCATCACTCAGAACTGTCAGTGAATAGAGTGAGAGAGAGAGGGCGAGAGTAGGAATCATACAGACATATAGTTCTACAATGATGGTTCGTTTACAACCATTTTACATCGATTTTAGTCTTTTTCTTTGCCTCTTCAAGCTGTAATGTGCTACGTCACAATAAGTAACTTTTAGTTAAGTGATCGTTTAGGAGTAGTTGGTGAATGGCCATAATACTATCGCATTTATTATACACCGTTAAATTTTAGTCGTTTTAATCCCATGGACCTGTGGTTTAACTAACCGAATACTACTCATTACAAGCTTGTACTGCGGTGTAACATAAAAAATAAATAAATTAGCAAATGATAAGATTATACTCGCAAAATGTATGAAACCAAAAGTTGCGCCACGAGATAGTTACCTACGTCGTCGTCGGTCGTTGCGTATCGGGCAGTGTAGGTACCTACACGGCCCGATCAAGCATAAGGTTATTGACTCGATCAACTGATGTTTGCGTAGGTAAACAAATAAATTGATTCCAAATTTTCCTTCATACTTTTACAGGCTTAGGACCGACATAACTGTACTAACGGTTCGCATTATTTATTCACCCATGCGAGAATTGATTCGAGTTATTAAAAAAAAGTACTTTCTTTTTTAATTTTATCTATACAAATCGATAGTGTTTCATGGACCAGTTCGAACCTCCAAGGGATTAAAACGATTCAAATTTAACGGTGTATTCGTATAGAAGTTAAGTAACTCTAATAATTACATCTGATAATGACAGAAAAATACTAAATTCATTCATAAAACGCAGACATAAAAAATAAAATTACCTAAAAATCGCGGGTTACTAGTAGAGCTTCTCTCAGTATTTGAGTAACCCGCAATTTTAAGTTTCATTCAATTTAAAATACTATTTTTATAGAAACTCATAAGCTTAGATTTATATCTAGACTAGTTTTTGCTAGTGACTTCGCCAGCGCCAGGGACACAAGGGATAAAGGTAGCCTATGTGTGTGCCCCGACCATACTAAACTTCTGTTCAAAATTTCATATCGAATTCTTCAACCCTTTCGGCATGATTGAGTTACAAACATACACACACACTTTCGCATTTACATACATACATAACTTCACGCCTTTTATCCCCGAAGGTGTAGGCAGAGGTGCACATTATACCACTGTACAATGTAAGACCCACTTTTCACTATTTATGTTATGAGTCCCATGTAATAGGGGGTGACCCTATTGCCATATACCGGGTGCTACTACTGAGAATTTTGAAAAAAACCCAGTAATACTTTGCCTAACCCCGAGACCCCTTGCCCGGCAGTCGCACTTGCGACCACTCGGCCAATAAGGCAGTCAAACTTTCGCATTTATAAAGACTATATAAGACTAGTAAGATAAACCACAAATGGGTCGAACCTACAAATTGTTTTTGCGTGTCTGTCTGTGATGTATATGTGAACTTGTATGTTTGCAAACACACCCACGATACAGGAGACAATCTTAGTGTGGAAACCAAGATCGAAATAACTCTGGCATGCATCCTTGATGTTGACTTAAATATTATTATGGTTAGCTTTATGCTTTACAATTTGGCATCGGCATAGCAATAGAGCTGTTAGCAGGGTCGGACTGGGGCCCTGGGGCCCTTAAGCATGAAACGTTGGGAGCAGAGGTGAACTTAAATATAGAGAGCGCCCTAGGGAAGTACGTCATAGACGCCCTTAATTTGTTTTGTCGCCGCCGTCACTCTATGTGTAGTTGTGCACGCGAGTCTCCCGGCGCC